GGGCGTCCCACAACTACCCCACTCTTCCCACTGCCTGTGCAATGCAGAGCAGGACACACCTGCTAGGGCCAGGGGACGAGCCCTGGGTTCTGTAGAGGGGCCCTGGGTTCTGTAGTGGGATCCTGGGTTCTGTAGTGGGGCCCTGGGTTATGTAGTGGGGCCCTGGGTTCTGTAGTGGGGCCCTGGGTTCTGTAGTGGGGCCCTGGGTTCTGTAGTGGGGCCCTGGGTTCTGTAGAGGGGCCCTGGGTTCTGTAGAGGGGCCCTGGGTTCCGTAGAGGGATCCTGGGTTATGTAGAGGGATCCTGGGTTCTGTAGTGGGGCTCTGGGTTCTGTAGTGGGGCCCTGGGTTATGTAGTGGGGCCCTGGGTTCTGTAGAGGGGCCCTGGGTTCCGTAGAGGGGCCCTGGGTTATGTAGAGGGGCCCTGGGTTATGTAGAGGGGCCCTGGGTTATGTAGAGGGGCCCTGGGTTCTGTAGAGGGGCCCTGGGTTCCGTAGAGGGGGCCCTGGGTTCTGTAGAGGGGCCCTGGGTTCCGTAGAGGGATCCTGGGTTAAGAGCTGGCTTATTATCAGTGTCGTATATTAGATTCCAGAGTATAATTCTGGATTGATAAATAAGGTCTCCATAGTTAAGAAACTTAGAAAAAACACTGATTAATCCAGTTGCTTTACCTTGTAAGGGAGAACATGGATGCAGAGAAGCTCAATGGCTTCCTGAGTCATGGGTTTGGTGTCTGGACAGGATCCTTTGTGGTTTCAGGTGACAGAGGTGACTTCAGCTCCCAATGTGGTCAGGCTCCACTTGGTGCCAGGGACGAGGGTGGAAGGCGCCTGTCTCAGGGGCTCAGACCCAGAGCTGAGACTTCCCCAAGCACAGGGCTTGCAAATATTGGACTCCCAGGAAGCCCCAGGAGTGGGTAAGAACAAGTCCCGTTCTTCTGCTCCAAGGACCACGAAGGCTGGAAAAGGCGTTTCTGAGAGAAGCTCCCAGCATGGCAAGAGCCTTGCCGTGGTACTGGAAGGATCGATCTGTGGCCAGGGCAGTCTGAGGAAGGAGGAGTGGGATCCTCACGTGCTGGCTCTGCTTGGGGTCACTGCCTTCTCAGGGAGTGCTGACGTTCTAGGATAGAGGAAGGGTCCCACTGGCCCCAGCCCTCAGGAGCCCTGGAAAAGGCTAGCATTGTCCTTAATGCTGCATTCTGTGGTGGGGCTCTGGGTTCTGTGGAGGGGCCCTGACTCAGGCCCTGCCCAGGGGCATGGGCGTCTCTGGCTGATGCTGTGAGGCCTGGAGCTGACAGCAGAAAAGCATTGCCATGGAGGGAGGAGGCTGGGGCTGTGAGGACCCAGGAGGGCGAGGGAGCTGGGCAGGCCATGCTGGAGGGCCTGTGTGCAGCAGGGTCTTACAGGCAGGGCTGGAGAAAACCCTCCTGGAAGGAACAGGAGGTGAGCGCAGCACCAGGTGCAATGACCTGTCTCATCCATCAGTACCCAGCACGCAGGCCTGGGCTGGGAGGAGGGAGGGGGTGTGCAGTTTTGCCTGCTGGCTTCCATGCCTGCAGTGAGCCCAAGGGCCAGGGTGGTATGCAGGAGATGCCCCTCTCCAGCCGGCACCCCTGGGGCCCTGGCCCCCACTGGCGTGTCTGGTGAGAAGGGACCTTCCCATGTGCCTGACTGGGCTTGTAAGGCTGCCTTTGTGCCTCCTGCGGATGGAGATGAGGGTGCAGGCAAAGTGCCCGGTGCCTGTGAGTGAGGACCCCCCGAGCCCCTTGCCGTCCTCCAGGGACACAGGGAGGAAGATTGCTGTGGTCCTGGCGGCCCCTGCCGATTTCCCAGCCTTGCTCTTTCCGTGGTCAGTTGTGGATTGGAGTCAACCTGGGCGCCCGTCTGCTGGAGTCCACTGGGGCGGGCGTGGGTGGAGGGGGCCTTCTGCAGAGCTAGTGGGGTGTTGTGGGGGCCGGTGTGTGGGTGCTCGGCACACGCCACCACGTGACAGGCGTGTCCGGCTCATGCAGATGGGACTCTGGGGAGTCATGGTTGTAGAGATGATCACCTCAAAGGCCTGACTTTCTGGGAATGGTAATTTTTTCTCAGACGTGAGCCTCTTATTAACAGCACACGCCTCCTTCCCTCTCCCCTGCAGGCCCCATTGCCACAGACGAGGTGATGGAGGGCAGCCTTCAGCTTGGGGTTCCCTGAGCGGCTCCCCCTCTGTGTGGAGACGGCTCGCTCTGAAGTTCTGCAGGGGTGGGCTGGCGGCCAAGCTCTCAGCACCTGCCGGCCGGGCTGCTGACTCATGCTCTAATGGGGACATTGATGTGTCAGGAATTTATGCAGCCGGGCGGCAGCCCTTTACTTTCCTAACGGTGAAGCACTTCACAGAGAAAACACAACGGGATCAAATCACAATTAGAGTCAGTCCCAGCTCCTGCAGGGCAGCCGCAGCCCGGCGGGCGGGCGGGCACAGGGCCTCCAGCCAGCTGGTGGGCGGAGGGTGGGAGGGTAGGGCCAGAGCTCACCTCATAACCTGGCGTACTGAGGGGCAGAGAACAGCACGGGCAGCCTTGGGCCAAACAAGCACCCCACGTTTGATCTGGCAGATGAACGTCCCTCTTGGTACGGCTTGGCCTGAGTGCCTGCGGCTGGTTTCGTGGTGTTGCTTCAGCTCGGGGTGCCCTGGAATCAGCTGCACCTTGTCCACCTCACAGCAGCCCCCAGATCCAGATCCTCCAGCCAGGGACCTCGGACGTTGTGGGGTAGGGCTGAGGCTCCCTGGGCAGTCTGAGGCACTGGCCACCTCACCCGGATGGCTTTCCTGCTCCAGCCTCCAGACCCCTGTCTGGCCTTAGAGAAAGAACAAAGGTAATTTGTAAAGAGATCGATAGAAAATGCTGATCAGACAGTCAGAACGTGCCTTTGCCTGAGGACTTGAATTCCTGCTTCGAGAATCTGTGGTTTCCGCTGCTCAGTGCTGGGGACAGACGTCAGGGGACTGTGGACATCGACAGCCAAGTGACTATTTCCTTATGACCAGCCTTTCTCCATGCGGTTTTCCTGTTCTGTGCTCTCTCAGCCAAGCTGTGTGAGGTTTGGCTTAGGGAACTAGGCCAAAAATGGAATCGAAAGACAATCTCAGCAAAGAGAAAACCAGCAGGGTGGGTGACACCTTGGCTCCAAGACCCGGTGGGGAGGGCCTTTCGCTCAGATGGAGCGTTTCCTAACCCCGGGGCAACTTTCCCGAAACACACAGACTTGCCTGACCCAAATAGCCCCTTATTCTTGGCTGCACTTGTGACCACAGGCAGAGCTCTTCGGAGGTGTGGACAAAGGAGGCCTCGGAGAGAACAGGGTTCAGTGGCCGGCGGGTGGAGAAGTCAGAGCTGGCTGCACCGTGGAGCCCGCGCATCAACCTTGCTGAGGACCCCAGTGCGGAAAGTCCTGGGTTCACTTCCTTCCAGATCTGCTGAGCACCCACTCACGGCGGGAGAGCTGGGATGTCCTGGAATTCTGGAGAGGCTCCTGCTCGGAAGGAGTTCAAGGTCTTCCTGTCCGGTCTGATATCCCCAGATGTTTTCCCTGCTAGGGCTGGAGAAAGTTGTCCAGGCGTGTGGACGAACAATTTGAGGGACAATCTGGCTTTTTTTTTTTTAAACAGTTCTTTTCTAAACGCCTCGGAATAAATGAAACAAAGTCCTATTTATCACTAGAGATGAAGACACATCCCTGATTTACGTTGCCAAGCAGGGAGAAATGCTTTGTTTCTACTCAGCGGAAGGAGACACAAGCAGGTGGGAGGAGCTGTCTCAGGAACACCAGCCTGGGTTTCCCACCCTCCCTGCTGCGGCTCTCAGCTGACCCGAGGCTGGCTCAGGAGAGGAGGAAAGCATGCCTGAGACTGCTGTGTCTTTCTGCCCCAGCAACAGAGAGCCAAAGAAAAGACACAAGGCCCCAAAGTATCGCCTTCTAAATCACTTCCCTCAGCTACTCCCCCAGCATTTCCAAAAACCCAGGTTCCCCTCGGGGTGACACCTTGGCTCCAAGACCCGGTGGGGAGGGCCTTTCGCTCAGATGGAGCGTTTCCTAACCCCGGGGCAACTTTCCCGAAACACAGACTTGCCTGACCCAAATAGCCCCTTATTCTTGGCTGCACTTGTGACCACAGGCAGAGCTCTTCGGAGGTGTGGACAAAGGAGGCCTCGGAGAGAACAGGGTTCAGTGGCCGGCGGGTGGAGAAGTCAGAGCTGGCTGCACCGTGGAGCCCGCGCATCAACCTTGCTGAGGACCCCAGTGCGGAAAGTCCTGGGTTCACTTCCTTCCAGATCTGCTGAGCACCCACTCACGGCGGGAGAGCTGGGATGTCCTGGAATTCTGGAGAGGCTCCTGCTCGGAAGGAGTTCAAGGTCTTCCTGTCCGATCTGATATCCCCAGATGTTTTCCCTGCTAGGGCTGGAGAAAGCTGTCCAGGCATGTGGACGAACAATTTGAGGGACAATCTGGCTTTTTTTTTTAAATTTATTATTATTATTTTTTAAACAGTTCTTTTCTAAACGCCTCGGAATAAATGAAACAAAGTCCTATTTATCACTAGAGATGAAGACACATCCCTGATTTACGTTGCCAAGCAGGGAGAAATGCTTTGTTTCTACTCAGCGGAAGGAGACACAAGCAGGTGGGAGGAGCTGTCTCAGGAACACCAGCCTGGGTTTCCCACCCTCCCTGCTGCGGCTCTCAGCTGACCCGAGGCTGGCTCAGGAGAGGAGGAAAGCATGCCTGAGACTGCTGTGTCTTTCTGCCCCAGCAACAGAGAGCCAAAGAAAAGACACAAGGCCCCAAAGTATCGCCTTCTAAATCACTTCCCTCAGCTACTCCCCCAGCATTTCCAAAAACCCAGGTTCCCCTCGGGAGCTGCCTGGAGCTGCCTGTGCTACCCGCTGTTTCCGCTGCTCAGTGCTGGGGACAGACGTCAGGGGACTGTGGACATCGCATGGTTGTAGAGATGATCACCTCAAAGGCCTGACTTTCTGGGAATGGTAATTTTTTCTCAGACGTGAGCCTCTTATTAACAGCACACGCCTCCTTCCCTCTCCCCTGCAGGCCCCAATGCCACAGACGAGGTGATGGAGGGCAGCCTTCAGCTTGGGGTTCCCTGAGCGGCTCCCCCTCTGTGTGGAGACGGCTCGCTCTGAAGTTCTGCAGGGGTGGGCTG